ACATGTCTTTCACGGAAAGGAAACCCACCCGTACCCACTAACCCGGTCCCAACAGGTTGGCAGTCTGTCACCATACCCTAGCTAGGATTCCAACCCATCATTGATTTAACCAGCCTGAATCCCGAAGAACCGGTTTTTTACGCCGATCTTGCACTACAAAACCAGGTCGACCTATATGGTCTTGGATGGCTACACCTAGGGAACTACCTTAAGAATCAAGGACCCTCAAAGGTGAAGGTTTGGAAGGTCCAAACCCCTGCTATGCAGGGTCCAAACCCTCCATGGGAGGGTTTGGAAGATTCTTAGGGTATCTCATGTTTGAAGGTCCAAACCGCGAGGAACACCGCCACGCCACGCACGCCGGCCCCTTGGTTTCTTGTGGCGAACCTCGATGGGTCGAACAAGCCACACGATCCGACCCGGATCCGATGGCCCTCAAGTGTTATAGTGGATTGAGAGGACCAATGGCACAGACCCCAATGTCGGTGGTTTCTATAAACCCCGCATGTTTTCAGGACATCTTGAGGTCTGTGCCATCGAACCTCTGAAACCACTGTACTGTTTTTGTTCCGACTCCGCATCGTGTGGCGTGGAAATCCGCACCTGATTCTCATCGCAAAAGCTCTTGGCCTCCTCCTCGCTGGGGAACTTCTGCCACACCTCGACCGTTTCGTTTGGTTCCGATCTCCACCGACGTGCAGAGGCTGGGAGGCGACAGGGCCCACGGCGCCCTGTTCGATCGCGTGGAGTAGCGATGTGTGCATCGAACCAAGCGACATGTGTGCCATCTGCTCTCTGTAAATCAGCTTCACCGACAAAAGGAGAGAACTAACTGAATTGCACAAAATAACACAGTAAGTCACATGTACCCTCCATTTGGGGTGTCTATTTATAGCCCCAAACAGCTGTGATTCGGGGTGTCCATTAACCACCCCTTTAAGGGTCCTGGAGTCCTGGTAGACTTCTTCCCTTTTGGTCCCGTTCTCTCCATTGGTGTATGCTCTGGATCAGAAGTTGCCGGTGAGGACTCTCCACCTTCCCTGGACCTCCCAAGCCCCAGGGTGGCTGGAACCTCCCAGGCCATCATGGTTTGTGCTTCGGAGCAATTCTGATCTTCTATTACGCCCCCCTAGAATCATCACTAGAAGTAGATGGCATGGCCCATATTTTTCGGATGACCATGTACCAAACAGCACGGTGAACTCCACGTATGTGACCATTTGGTCCATGTCCGGAAAGCCGGAGAACCGTATAGCGATCCCTCGAATCCCTCCCTCCTCGCATGCACGTCCAGTGCTCCAAGAGTTCAAACCAAAGCACTGTCAAGCTGCCGAAGGCCTCACCCAAAAAAACTGTCACACCACAGTCACAACTCTGTAGAATCGTTCAGCCTCCAAAAACTGCTGAGAGAACTTATCTGGTGGGTGGTTTCAACTTATATAGAGTCAGCGGTTTTTGAATATGATCCAGCAAGTAACAATTGCACATTTAGGTACCTAGAACCTGAGTGACCCCTGTTTTGGAGGATCAACTATGCAAAATATGGGCCTTTTCCTATCAAAACAGGGGTCACTCACGGGTTCTAGGTAGATCACCACATCTCTGAAACCGCCACCTGGGATTGGAAAGGAACGGACCCGGTTCCATCACCTTAGACTCGAACGGGTTCCCTCAGTCCGCCGGAGCGGACCTCCGGAACAGTCCATCTGAGTGAGCCCTTTGGCTTTTCAGGTGTCAGTTAGTTTTTTCATTGAAAAAACAAAGCTGATCGCACGACTGGCCATGTGTGGCAAGAAGTGGGGAAGAACCTCAAATGTACTTCATTGAACCGCAAACCGGTATGAAACTGGAGTTGAATCATGTTCAAGACATGTGGCGATAGTTACACCCAGGACAATGAACATGGAAACTGACAATTGGACTGTTGGAAGACTATGTTCCTCTACGACTGAGTGGTTTTCAGGTTCCATCTTCCAGAGCGTAGTGGTGGAGTAGAAAAATCCCGTTTGGACCAAAACGGCTTTTGAGGTCTGGTTGAGATCGTCTCTTCGGCCCACTTTGCGTCACACGCCGATGAAACGGTGAACACGCGGGGGGGCAAGGGCAGGGCGGAGCCGGAGCAACAGCCCACCTTGTCCTTGACTCGGCGATATTGACACACCATCTTCCCCTCCTGGCGAAGATGTGCCGAGCATATCATCCGCGTCCAGTGACCCGGAACATGGCCAAACTAGGTAGGTCTTCCCTGAGTCACGGCCATGCAAAACCGCTGTACAACTATGATATTCAATGAAGGTCTTTGCTTCCATCAAAGGCACATCTTCCATCCTGCTAAAAATGGTTCAAGGCTTTCACCCAACCTAATATATAGTAATATCAGAAGGGGTAGCCATCGGGGGTGGAGTGGTGTAGAAGTTTCAGTGATATCATCCCCAATCACAACCCCACCCCCCATGACTACCCGCTCTCTATGGCACTTGAAACGACCCTGAAACTTGCGTCTGACCAATTCAGTAAGCATGTCAGGCTGATCACCGCAGAATCTTTGCAATCACTATAAAACCGCCCTCATGGAAGTATCATTGAGTATCCATCTATAACTCTCCAGGGACTCTCCGCGTTTTGTACAAAATGGATGATCTGTGTGAAAAAACATATAATTGTCGTACCCATGCAAAAGAATACCTTCCCAACCTGGCTGTGGTATGCTGTGGTTGTTCATGCACAGCAGCACTTCTCTTCTAGACCGGCAAACCTTACAGGTCTCAAAAAATGACTCAAAGACTTCATGAAACCTCACACCCAAGTATCTCCTTCACTGCCGGTCACTACCTCAGTCCCTATCAATCCACTGCCACTGTCCACTGCCCTATTGGACACTCTTTAATGCAGGTGTCGGTCCAGTGAAGCATCCTGTGGATCCCTTCTCAAAAGCACTAAAAAAAACATCCAAGCCCCATTGAGATATTACATGCTATTACCATCCGAGCCACCAAACAAAGAACAACCGCAAACATCTTCATCCACTCTTCCACCATGCGATGCAAGCCTACGTACTGACTCCCGATACTTTGAACAAGCTGTCCCTGAAGAAATCGTTTGGTTCACCGAGCTTTCGCTTCCCGTGGTTTTGTCATGGGCTCTTCACCAATTCCCCCCCAAACAACTTGAGAGTATGACCACGCTCCCTGCTCCTGGACCATCTTCATCTTCGTTCCGAACACCCCTATTCGGTGGTGAGCTCCGAACCAAGAGAGGTGGAAGTCGTCACCTTATAGGACCTATGGGATAGTCTAGACTAGAGGGTTCTTCACCTGATAGGACCTTATAGTCTAGTTCCACCTGAGTCGTCACCTTATAGGTCTAGAGGGTTCTTCAACCTCTGTTGGAACCTTTCAGGGAATGGCGGCATGGTGCCGGCGCTTCGCCACAGCTTCGCCCCCCCTCCTGCGCTGCCACCCACAGCACCACGCCACACCATGGAAGCCGCATGACGGGCGTCACGGGGTGCCAGATAGAAGAAGTGTTGACCAAATCCATTCAAATGAGGAGTTTGACCTGTGGTGTAGGACAGGTGCGTGAAGGGCGCCCTCAATAATTAATCCCCTGAAGTCTTAGCGTAAATAGGGTGGCCAGAATTCTTCAGTTGCAGCGTCTTCGGCACAGTCCGGCATTCTTATAAGATTCCTGGCCCGCCATTGATGTAATGGTTTTGACCGAGCAACCATTGCTTGGTAAGGATTCTACACTACAAAACCATGCAGGTCACATCAGGTCACCTTTTCTGATGGCCTTGGCAGACACATTGCAGGCTGCAGAATGATTGATTCGATGCGTGGTTCCATGCAAGCGTGGTTCCAGACAGTCGGTGCTCAAAGCTGAGAATGATTCTTCTCCATCCGAACCTCCGCCTCACTGGAACCAGCTCCAGCTCCAGCACAATCTAGTGGATTGAGAGGACCAATGGCACAGACCCCAATGTCGGTGGTTCTGGATCCCCATCTAAAGTTTAAAAGGACATCATGGGGTCTGTGCCATCTACTCTCCCATACACGACGATCCATGGGACTGCCAGGGCGGACTGCCGAGAAACAGCCAGACCCCCCTGGCACCACCCCTGGCCTGATCGGCAGTCCTATGGAGCGGTCTGGGTCTGAAACCACTGTCAAGACGCTCGAAGCAGCTCGACGAGCCGACGGCGGTCGGTGAGCGTCCCGGTGTCCCAAAAGAGTGATCAGGTTTTGACCGACTGGTACAGGCAGTACACTGAGGTAGCATGTACACTGTAGCAGTAAGTCTACTGGGGTAGCATTGTACACTGAGTCAGTACAAGTCGCACTGGGATGGCATGTCATTTGACGTTCTTGACGTTGCGGGCCTCCTCCGTTTCGGTGACCGCTGCGGTACTTGGGCGGGGCACCGGCTCACCGCGGAACCGATTCGCCCCGGGACGGGCGCAGCTCAAGTCAAAGGACACCCAACCCATGACCCACCAAGGCTGGATGTGTATGTGACATACCCAAACCATCCATGTATACCCAGACACGACCCATGGGACTGGTATAATTAGGACAGCCGATCAGGCCAGGAGTGGTTTTGGAGGATCGGAATATGGCAGTCCCATGGAGTGTCTGCCCTACGCACCCAAACCCTATGAATTTGTAGGGTCGATGGAAAAACCTAGGGTTTCTGAAGGAAACCCCAGGTTCTCCAAACCAATATTAAAATACGGGTTTAGTACGGGTATGTACGGGTTAAATATGGGTTTAGTACGGGTTAAATATGGGTTTAGCACAGTTTAGAAAAGCAAGACCTGAGGTTTTAAGAACAAACCTGAGGTATTTTTGATTTCACAAGAATACCCGAGGTTCCGATTGAGACCCTACAAATTTATAGGGTTTGGTTGCGTAGGGTGGGTATAGATTGATAGAATCGTTGCCTGCACCCATCCATGTCAGAAGTCACATGCCGTCGTGAGAGAACTCTGAGCCCCCCCTGGCTGATCAAGTTCGCCACCGCTGCCTCAGGCATCACACACGCTACATCACACTAGGCTTGGAGGGTCAAAATATGATGCACATATGAACATGACATTGTACAGCAATGTCCTTCGGCTGCGCTTCGACAGGATATATCAATTAATACAAAACAGTTCCCTCTTGGTTCCAGCATGCATGTAGATCATGTAGACTCTTGTTTTAAAACGGTTTGGATAAGGCCTCTTCATACGGGGGTTTATTGATCAAAAAGCTGCATTGAATTCTATGCCTTGAGCCAAAACGTGAACCCCCAAAACACCTCGCGAGAAACGGCTGACACATGCGCGACACGTGCACCAGCTGCGAGCTAAAATTACGCCACGAGCTGCGAACGCAACGAGCTCCGTCTGGGCTTCCCCAGCAGCGATGGCAGGCGCAGGCATCGAACCCACCTGCCCCAGCTGCAAAGCAGCTGGCTGCGTCTGGGTCATCATCTGGCGGACGCGACTTCGTTCCGCACGCACGTCACGAGCGGCGGATTCGCGCCATGCAAGAGATGGAAGAGAAATCCCGAACCTTCCAACCACCTTTGATTTAATGGATAAACAACCCGAAAATAAAGAAAAACAGCTTGTTCTACTAAGGATTCTACGCTGCAAAACCAGAAAGAAAAAAGAAACATGATTGAACCGTCTTGCGACCCTGGAAGGTGAGGGCAATGTCTGTGGTGACACTGATGTCCACCGTAAAATCGCATGGAGTTGTGGCCTGTTAAAGGAAACCCGTCTTCTCAAGGGCCGAAGTCAGTCAATGGTTTGAGCATTCCAGTCCTCAGTTTCCTTATTCTAGACATGTTTTATATAGGTCCAACCAACGACCCAGTAAATAAACCTGGTCCTGAAAAAACCTCCTTGTGCAGTGTTCGTCTATGATGCACTCAACTCCACTCCAACTGTAGGGTTTGATATCTTTCAAAGGGCTTTCCCAACAAGCGGATACGAGGCCCGGGGTGGGGAGAGGCAGCACCTTCGAATGCATCTGCGCACGCCGCTTGCAGAAGCAAAAGGTCTCAATGCTACATACAGGTTGGGCCCTTTCTGGAGGGCCCTTGGAGTGTTAACTCTCCATCCAATCTATTGCATACAGTATGTGGTAGGATACCAGTTCCTTTCTGATTCTCTCGTCCATTAGTGATGTATGTGGGTTGGTTGGGTTGGGGGCACCGCAAGACTTCTGGCCTTTCCCAAATTCATGATAGATCCCAAAGGGACAAGAGGAGACCTCCCGCGTGACCCGTGTGGCGTCGGCCGAAACCGCGGTTTCACCGCGTCTGCCGAAACCCCGCGGCCTGCCCTGGAGGCACCATGAGATTCCGCAGGTGCGCGTGCGGCGAATGCGACCGAGGAGTCAAATACATGGGTGAGGCCTCATGGCGCCGGCATCGACTCTTTGCCTGCCGTTCACCGTGGATCTGGGCTGTCCAGGATCTGAACCTCTGTGCCTTAGAAGGGTGTCCCACAACATGCCACAAGAGTGGTGAATATATATATATATATATACCAGTCCCATGGATCGACTTGGACAGGAGAAAGCACTAAAAATAACAAACATCATACTTAAAACCATCATGTGTCAACTTTGCTGGAACTTGCTCGTTGGTTCCTTTGCTGGTATGCCCCTGTTCCATGGATCATATGAATTATGACCTATACCTGACCTATAATACTGAATGACCAGTGTCACATCAGTAGGTGAGAGACTTCCACCTTGGGATGGTGAGTCCAACTTTAACCCACTGCGACCGCAGTCCTATGGTCTCTCCGAGCGTGTCTCCATGTCTCTTTCCCTCTGGGTGTCCCCAGCTGGCCGCACATCAACTCCATGAGGCATGGCATGTCGTGCCATGTGCATCACCGCCATGGCTGCTTCCGCTGCGACGCCGCCGCGGCGAGGTCGACCGCGCGAGGTCGAGCGCTTGGGGTCCGCGCGAAGAGCGGCCGCTCCGGCGGTGGGCAGGTTGCGCGGCGGTTCGGATGGCGAGAGCGTTTGTGGCTTCGCAGCCCCTTTTTCCCGGTCCAAACTCTTGAGCTCGTGCAGCTCGTGGCTCGAATCCCGGTCATTTGGGGCAAAGCTCCCTGACTTCTTAAACCTCAGGGTCTGCAACTTGGTACGTCCTGCAAACTTTCGTTTCGTGTTCTGCTTCATTTCGGAAGGTCAGCACTTTCTCGGTCGTCCCTTTCGGAAGGTGCCTTTTACTCATGCTCAAACCCTGCCAGGTCCGGTTCACTACCTCCTCCCCCCAGCTGTTGCTAAATTAATACATTAGAATTCACTAAGCCCTGACCATCCATGGGACTGGAATAGTTACCCATGGATGGGTCATTTTCATGGGGTTCTCATGTAGGAAACTCTTCCAGTCCACTTCGTCAACTGATGCAACCTGGGCCGCCCCAAACAAAGATCTGCCAATTGGCTCATCGGAAAGGCAATGAGCCTTCGAGACTGAGTCATCTTCCCCTGGTCTTCGCCTGTTCACGCATCAAGCCCCCCCCCAGTCCTCCAGCCTGGTGATGTAAAACCATTCTAGAGGTAGGATGTCTCCATGATAGACCCCACTGAAAAATAATTTAGACATACATAGACCCTGAAAACCACTGGTGCAGCTAGAGGACAACAGTCTTTGAGGGTGCCATTCTCAGGGATGTTAGTTTTCGGGAGTGTATTGTCGATTGTCCCATAAGGCCCGCAAACCGACGTGGGAGCAACATATACATGCCAAAGACTCAGAAAACACCGCACATTACCATATTAAAACACCAAAGGTAGGTACCGGGCGGGGTTCTTCCATATTATTCTACCAGCGACCCACCAGCAGGTAGGTATACATGCCACTATGCATAGCGAACTTTGGGACTATGGACTCCTGAACACCGGAGGCTATCTTCCTCTTAGAAGCCAACTGACTCTGAGTCCTGTTCATGTCAATCTCGCAAGCCCAGGTCAGCCAGCCTCCCCTGAAACTGGATTCACAGGCCTATAATATATATACATATATATATAATATGTGTGTGTGTGTGTTGAAAATCCGATTCGCACACATTGTAGCTTGTTGTCATGCATGTCACATTGGGAGGTTTTGCGTGCTCACTTTGCCTTCCAAAAGGTCATGATGGTCATGGGCCCCAGCTCCAGAATTCTCAATGAGCATTGCCAACTTTAAACTGGCCTTCGGGCTTGCCTGTTCAATCCCCGGGCTGAAACCTTTAGTAGCGCCTGAAAAAGGGATCCAGGATCCCAATTGAAGGATAGACTCCAATGTCAGGTCTACACTGCACTCAAGATCCAATCATCGCCCCCCAAACCCTCCGAGGTTCCACCCATTCTCCGCGCCTCCGCGCCTCTTGGGCCCACCGGTTGATCCATGGCGGCCGAAACACGGACGGATCCACGGATCCACGCCCCGACCCTGGCGGCCGAACCCCCTGGTCCTCAGGTGACCGGTGGACCCGGAGCCCTTTTCCTGGCACCCCTGTCCCATCGAACCGAAACGGAGGCAGGTAGAGCATGTTGGAGCCCGAACGGGAAGGAACTGGCAGAGCGAAGCCTTTTGGATCTTTTGGGCCAAAGGAGGTCCCCCTTTTCTGCCTGCTACGTGCCCTTTTCAGAGCCTCCCAAAACCCGCGTCCATTTGCGGCTGCGTCTTCGTCATCCACGCTCGTGAAACAAAGACAGCAGCACATGGTTCTTCAGGAGTCAAGTCCATGAAGTCCCAGGAGTCAGCACATGCTTTGATGGTTTTTGGCCAAACTGGCTCCGTAGGGGGAGAGAAAACTGCTAAAAACAGTTAAGAAGAACATATTGCGTGATATTGTGTTGAATCTTTGATCCATGAAGCCGCTCTCATGGACTCCTGGACCCAAATCAGCTGCACCTTCCATCTCAAAGTAGTCTGGCGAGGTCACCGTGGTCACGAATCGTTGGTCCAACATCTTCTCGCTGTCGGGTGCCAGCGGAAAGGCGAAACCGAGGGGGTCGCTCCTGAACCACCTCCCTCGGCGAGGGGAGGCGAACCGTCCGTTGACTGAACAACCCCCAAAGGATGGACCATCCAGGAGTCACAGAGCTCAGCAAACCGGACGAACGGAAACTCGGAACAGGGTGCCCTAGCCAGACACGACCTGTCTGGGCTAGGCTGGGGCAAACCCAACGAGTTCAGGCCCTTCGGTGTTGTGCTGGCCAGGTGTACCCCCCACCATGTGGTGTAGCCCGTGTCAAGAAACTGGGTCCATCGGGTACCAAGCCCATTTTGGGTGACGTCCCCAACCAAAGGAGCCCAACAAAACACAAAAGGCGCCCAAACAAAAACACCCATGCTTAAGCTGAGGGTGATGACATTGCTTCCTCCCGGTGATTACTGTCCGCTCCAAACCGCTATCGGCACTATCGGCACCGCCCTGATCTGGGCCGAAGATGTCAGGCTGTCCTCTAACATCCCCGCCAAAAACTGCGCATGTTGGAGAGCCAGCGCCAGCCTTGGCGTTTCTTCTGCATGACTGGAGGGCCCCCAACTGGGTGTCACTACGTCGACCTGTGGCTCTGGCAAGAAGAGTCGACATATTGATTTGGCAATGCATCGTTGAAAACAAAAATCAGTGATTGAGCGATGTTCGATCGCTTTGGTATTTACAGTACGTGCCCTTTAAACCTTGAGACTCTGTTCTTTGCCCTACTGTGTGCGGATAAACGGCCTGACTATATAACTGGGATCATGAAGGCCTTGATCGAGGGAAAAAATGAACATTACCATGCAATACCCGAATTCACTAAAACCAGGTGTTGGCAGTGCAATCCTATGCTTCCCGCCAACTCCACCTCGCTGCCTCAGCTCCGGGCTGGATGTTCTCCCCCAACAAGGCTCGAGCAACCTCGCTCGGATTGTCCGCATCGCGGGTGGTATGGGATCGTGATTTTTTTAAGTCATTTCTTGGATTGGCTGCCCGAGAGCCGGGAAATCCAATTTTGGTGATTCACCCATTGGACAAATATATCACACAACACCCTTGGCAAAACCATATTAGAGCCCAAGATTGAGTGAATCACTGGTGGGGTCAGTGATCTGTTGGTGATGTATTATAACTGCACCTGTCAGTGGTGATTTTTTTTGGTGTGGCCATGACTAAATGCATGCAATTTCGTGCTGCCCCTAGAGTACCTAGGCCAACCGCCCGATCCGAAATAGATTTCGCCGTGGATGGCCAGTAGTTCAAACCCTGGAAAGCGAAAATGCCGTCAGAGAAGTCGAAACGTCGGCGCAGAAGAATCGCCGTTTTGATATGTTTTGTTCCGTCCATACCTTGTGTGCAGCTTGGCTCCTTGGAAGACGCAAAGTTGCACGATTAAACACAAAATTAGTTGTATAATTTGTCCCTGATTCATTTAGTTGGGCACTCGAACACCCCAAAATTAATCTGAACCACTCAAACCAAAAAAAACCCTTTGATTAACGAAAGGAGGTTTATCAATCAACTCATCAATTCTCAACTCATGCTACCCATCTCTCTTCCAACTCATCAATGAGGTCTTTGCTCATGGTTTAGCCTTCTGATACTTAGTAACAACAGGCCTGCCAATTTTCCTATGCTCTTTTCTCATCCAGTATGCACGGCACTTGGCCTCATCACACCTCAAACAAACCAAATCAAACTGCATACAATGAGCATTCAAGCCTGCATTAAGTAGAGTGCATTGTTTTCAAGGCCGCGCTTCTGACGGAGATGACCAGACGTGACCAGAAGCCATGCCACTGTGGTAGTAGCCCAAACGTTCATTGCAGTCGACGGCGGTTTGTGGAAAGGAAAGTTACGCTTGGCACTCTGCACTTTTGTTATTCAGCATATTATAACATCACCCTCTAGTTGGTCAGTTTTGGAAACACATGGTGCGCACACTCAGCCTGGCCAGCGGCTTGAGCATAGAGCGCTAAAATGTTGATTTGAGGCGCTGCATCCAACTCCCTCGATCATAGCCAGAAAGAAGCAAACTGGGCATGATGTTGCACCTTCGACGTGTTAGCGCAACAGGCATACTTTTCCCCCTGCCAGGATCTCCGGCAGGAAAAACTTGATGGTTCCAGCCTTGAAGACGTTGCCTGCGGCATTGAATGTGCATGGGGAAATTCACATGAAAGACCGAAGCCGGCAGCGCCAGGCTCTCCTCAATGACTTCAAGAAAGGAACAATCCTGCTGTATCTCCCAGGGGCCCGGAAACCTTTCTAACATGCAATGTGGATTAGAAGCAGCAATATGGCAGCACTCGAATGCGCTTGGCCTTGCTGCGCAGAGATCGCTGCGTGAATACCCGTGTATGGCGGGTTCGCGTCATCACAATGCATGGCGCTTCGGGTTTCATGCTGAATGCCGGATGTGTGGCAATGTTGGAGCCCTTGGAAGATTTGCCACACCTTGTCGCCCGGTCGCAAGAGTGAATGTCAGAATATATTCCAGATAGAATGTGAGAATATATATATATATGCCAGATCGAAGGTCAGAATATATGCCAGACAGAATGTCACAATGTACACCAGATAGAACGCCAAAGTATTTGCAAAGTAGAATGCTAGCAGTTTTGCCAGACAGAACTCAGAGTATATGCCAAATAGAATGCCTGGTTTTTTATGCCAAAGAATGCCAGGATACCTTTGATGGCAGAGCAATTGTCGGAACACGCCAGGACTGAAGTTGGTGCATATGTCACAGCACATGTCAAACAGGAAACATGCCAGAACACATGCCAACAAAGATGTCAGAACATGTTCCAGAACGTTTCCCAGACTTTTGATAGATGATGTGTCAAAGCACAGGCCAGATTTGGTGCCAGAACAGGAGTCAGAACATCATGTCAAGCCGCGCACATCGCCTTTCAGGGTGGGGATCACTCGAAGCAAAGCAATTCTTTGATAAGCCCTACCATGTCTTCATACTCGCCTGCATTG